TTCCTTAGCGCTTTCATATTCATAACGTAACACTCTTTTTTCATCAACATGTTAAAGAAACAAACATCAACTTTAATACCAGTTTTTTTCATCATTCTTAGCAAAGCAGTCTCAGCAGCATTTGTTGAAGGTATCACTTGGAGTAATTGTGTGAAAGTTTTTAAATCTGGTACTGCTTTATGAACATACATTTCTTTTAAGAAACCAGATGCACCTCCTAATAAAAGTAATCTGTGCTCTGGATTTGTTATGCCTGTAATGTCCACGATTTTCCCAAAATGGGGTGTTTGAGATAGTAGATTAGGCAAATTGTTCTCTACTTCATTTGCATCTTGTGTTTTTAATACAGAATTGTTTGAAGGAGAATTTAATAAAATTTGATTAGATGGTCCATCTAATCTTTTAGAACCTTCATTTAAATTATCAAAAAATGATTTTGATTCTTCAATATCGCCAAGTCCACAATCTCTTATACAGTGCAGTAATAAATTGAATGTATATACATCAGGCTTTTTCTTCATATGTAATATTTTTCTCCACACCAATAATCCATGTCTAAAACCTGCAATTTTATCACTAATACTAGCTTGTAACAAAAAATTCATAGTACTTATAGGAACATTCAGTCTTTTATCAATCATTTCATCAACAAGCATAAAAGCAGTTTTAAGATCACCACATCTTCCAAAAGCTTTAATCATCGCATTATAATTTGTAATATTTGGTTCATAATGTTTTTCAAACATCAATCCCGTAATTGAGTGGCTCTTTTTAAACCATCTTCTGGCCAAGGACTATTAGCGCAAGCATTAAACAATGAAGTATATATGCCTCCTGAAATTTTCAGGTTTCTTTTTTTCATATCATTAAACAACATAAAAGCCTTTTTAGTATAACCAACAGCTGCACAGCCTGATATTAAGATACTATAAATGTACTTATCAGGTTTAGCCCTGTCTTCTTTTAACATTTTGATTTCTAAGATATCTAAAGCATTTTTCAATCGTTTGTTTTTCAATTCCTCCTTCATTAGTTTTGCATATTGAATTGTAGGTAGATAGTGAGGTCGCTCAGTTAGATATTCATCTTCTTCCTTATCTCCAATATCACTGTCGTACTTGCTAGTAAATATTGCAGTTCCTGACAAAACACCAAATCGGTCGGGATCATCTTTATGAATTAACTCTCTAGGAATTTCAGGTTTTTGTTTTTTTGAATTTGGAAGAGATTCTTTAATGATGAGTTCAGTTGACCCCTGTTTGAGATTATTGTTATGATAAAATTGTTTCTTAAGGCAAAACAATACAAAATTAATTGCTGGTTTTTGATTAGCTATTCTGTTAAGACAGCTTTTATAATTTAGTAGTCTATTCACAGAAAACATGGCATTGTTGATATTATTCATTTGTCATATGTAAAGATAATAAATTTTCAAATAATCGATTAGGATTAGTTTAAAATCAACGCATAACCTCTTTCAAGTGTAACCTTATAATTTATTAACAAAATGATTTTAAGTGTATTTTGATTATAAATACTCATAGAAAGCATTTCCAAGTGGGTAAGGAATAATATTTTTTAAAAACACTTTAGTTTCTTATTTATTACTTTTTGTAACACACGCAAAGATTTGACACAATGAAATGCAGGTTATGACTCCTTACTCTTAGGCAACTATATAAACTTAGCATTATTTTCGTACGTGAGTGAGTTTCATCAAATTTTTAAATTCCAAGTTTTAATTATTTTTAATAATATTGACAAATGATTGAAATACATAATTTACTATAAAATTGACTACTTGCATAAGAAATAAAGTCCACTTTATAACAACATATATTATAATAATTTAGTAAATAATCCTTTATCGTATTATGATAGTATTGTTATTTTGAGACTCACTTTTAAAGCTCAGTTTAAATAATATATAAGTTTAAAGAATTAAATATGATAAAAAACGAGACATATGAGTTTTATTTCTTAAAATTGATAAAATTGCAAACTTTTATTTTTAGAGAAAATCGTTAAATTTTTTAAAAAAAAAAAACGCATTTGTAGTTTTTATAATTATGTTAATGCTTCTATAATAATATTAAATTATTATTATTTTAAAATTAGCGCGTTGAACTCATTTGAAGTAGGCAAGGTAAGATCTGTTTATAAAGCGGACAAGTGTCACTCGCGCGCACTCTCGTTTGCGGACAAAAGTCACTCGTTTGCGATTATTTGCATCTGGCAATTTTCCTGGCCATCTTGATTTTGATATCAATTCTAACTGTGATGCAGATTTTGACTGAACGTAATAAATATATTTTTGCGTGTAATGTAATTGTGCTCGAAAAGTTATATGTTGATAATTCTGGACCGCTCTTCTATAGGAATTACTTCAAGATTCGATGATAAATTTACGCTTGAATGCTGTAGCAGATTGAAATTGCGAAATGCCCACTGAAACGACCGAAATCTTCTCTGAAGACATGGTTGTCCATCAAACTCAAGAAATTGAACAACAATTCATTAAAGGTATGACTATTCCGCGATGCATTCTTTTTATAATAGATTTAACGATTTATTTCGGCGCAATATACTAATTGCGGTATATTCTGTCTGCTTGAGTTGTTCCAGAAAACCAGGTAGAACGCCTTCACTTATCCCGATGCCGACGCTGTGTTCTTGAGCTTGGCCACGAATTTACATAAAAAACTTTAATCGTAAAGATATCTTAGTCATAACTAGGGAATTTGCATGAAAAGATAGTTCATATTATTCTATCAGCGTTCATACATTATTTACAACTTATTCCTTACTTTGTAATAAATATCAAATGCAATAAATATGATTAAGAGGTATTTCATAAAGATTTGTTTTAAAGAAATCAGTTTTTCGGTCTGAAATTAATTTTGAAAACTTAACAAACTACATGCAAGTTCTCCATAATGTTTAAATTATGAATGAAAGAAACAAACTATTTGAAGATGATCAACAATACTTTCACTATTTAAGAACTTTTATGCTTTATATTTTTTCCATACATATGATACTATATATATTATAATGACTACTATATAATTATACACACCGTGTTTACAAATGTGAAGTAAGTATGTGTTACATGAGCGAGTTAAATTTATATGATTTTCATGAGATTGGTAACCGGCAAGAGTAAATTTTAGTTAAAATAAAAATCATCTATCATATTAATATGATTTCAAAAATTGGCTAGACATTTAGTAATAAGTTTTTTAAATCTGTGTTTTACTCGTCGTCTTATATGATAGATAAAATTTCAGTTATAGATTAAGTAATTTGAAGTATTTTGTGCGCTTGTTTTGTATTTTCAGGTTAACATCTCTTTCTAAAGATTGGGAACTATCGCATGCACACTCCATGATTCATACTAAATCACCATTGATAAGTTTAGTGGCAATTATAAATGGTGCAAATATCTACATAATACCACAATTTTATTTGTTTTAAATTATTTTTTTGCATTTTATTTCAAATGATTTAAAATGCATTTATACATCATTTTGTTGATTAAATAATGCAGGTATTTGTGGTTTTTTCTATTTGTTCAGATAACTGCCTGCTTCACTGAGGATTTGCAGATGCTACAAGACTTCTACAATAATATTGTGACTATTGTGAGATCTCCATTATGAAAACTCAATTCCAAACATTTTATATATATATATATATATATATATATATATATATATATACACAATATTTCTCAATCTGGGTGTTCGTGAAAATAATTTGACAGATAAATTATACATGAGACCATTTAGAGTTAAATTTATTCGAACAGTCTATTAAATATTATAATTAGTGAAAAATAGTAAAGATATAAACCATTATTTATCATTAATATAATTGCATTATGCACATAAAATTTATTTACCTAAATATGTTATAACAGAATTATATTTAATTTACTGTTATATGTTTTCTTAAAGATATCATTTGAAACAAATTTCATATGAAAGAGATGAAGGGGAAAATTATTTTATATATTCGGTAAATATCTAGTTCAATTCATGGGATCACTATTTGTTCATTATTATTTTTGGAAACTTAATAGTAACGTGCATTCCATTTTTCTGACTTCAGTTTGTGATCTTATTACTGGTCTTCCTAAACCGAAGTATTTGCTATAGTAGTTAATCTGAGAATAATATTACAATCTAATATTTATATCTGAATATGGGTGGTTTTCGTTAAATCATTCCAGGAAATATTTTGCTTCAGAGGTGATTGCTAAAACGTTGGTGTAACCGATTTGTTTACTCTCTTCCCATGCGGATTTCATTCATGTTTCAATGTTAAAATGGTGATGAATCCAATCACTATGCAGGGTAATTTAAATTATTAATGTTTTGTTTGGGTTCAAGTTGTATTATTTATGTTAAATTAAAAAAAAAGTTTATTACTTTTGTGATGACAAGTTTTGGCTTACGCTATTTTATTTTATTTTAGGACCTGCGCTGCCTTATCTTACTAGCCCTTTGTATGATATTCAGCAAACTGGAGAAGTTATTTTAGGTAAGTCTTTCATTTTTATTATACAGTAGTATAATAATCTAGTTAATTCTATGCTATTCAGATCCAGGATATATTTTTGCATATCATAATGTTTTTTTGCAGGTTTATTAACCGAATCTATATTAATGTTTGATTTACCTAGAATTACATAAATTTACTAATAGTATTTATTATAAATTATATAATTATATAAATTCAGGACTAATTTAAGTATCTATAACGTAGTGAATTGCTATACCTAATTAACTTCCTGAAGAACATTTAGTCTTTTTGCGAAAAAATCCTATTTGCTAATTTTGTTTTCTCGACGTTTCAAGTCATTCTGAATCGAATGCCAAAAAATTTGGATAAAGTATGTGTGTGTGTGTGTGCATGTGAGCCGATTTTTCAGCTTTCATCGATGTTTTCTCAAAAACAGCTATATAGTTTTCAAAAATTTAAAAGCCCTTCAACGAAGTTCCATAAGAATTAGCGTTTGCCAGTTGGCGACGATCGGCTGTTTCTTTGTAAAGAAAAGTGTTAAATTTTTCTAGCTTCTTTTAGCCCATAATCTTGAATTGAATTGATTTAGAAAATTCAAAAACTGTTTGAAAGTTATTGGTTGAGAATCGAGTTGACTAGTTTTCTAGTTTCTAATCAGAACCAGTGGCGAACATCTATATACAGTGTTTTGTAGGTAGAGATACTAATTAGTAATTTCAGCCGACACTTTGTTAAAATACATTTTTAGACAATGAAATAGATGAAATGAATAAATTAATTTAATTTATACAATTACAGATATTATAAGTATGTTTGAATGAATCAATTGGAAATCGTATTGATCTTTTTTTAATGAAAGTGAAAATGTTGTTTTTGAAATAATAGTTGAACATTTTACTAACATATCTGTATCTCAATTCTTATTGATTGAAGTTGATTTTGTATACATATTGGGTAAGTATATTCAACTTGCCTTGGCAAATTGCTGCTTACTAGTTTTTGAATGTGAACAATTTAGTTACTTAGGTATATTGCAAAACTGTATGAATATGGAAGAAAAATATATATATATCTGTTTTTTGCAGGTCCTGGAGCACACAGTGGCACATTGATGTCCATATTGGGTGGTGCACTTCCAAGATTATCTTCTGACCAACATGATGCAGTTGCTAAAGCAAAGAAGTATGCAATGGAGCAAAGTATTAAAATGGTCCTGATGAAGCAGACCCTCGCTCATCAGCAACAGGTATTTTTGATTAGGAACTTTAAATTTTTTTTTATAAATATCCAACAATAATTTTATTTTCATGTTTATTTTAAATAAATAGTAATTTTATTATATTTAAACGATTTGAATTTATTTTAGCAAATGGCAAGTCAAAGGACACAAGTGCAACGGCAACAAGCGTTAGCATTGATGTGCAGGTAAGTTGAAACTGATTTAAGTGTAATTGTTAAATATCTGAAATGAAATTTATCATAAATTGAAATATTTTTTTTTGCAAGTTTTATCTAACTTACATAAATATCATTATCGATTTATCATTGTTGTATCATTAACGATTTTGTTTAAAATCAGAAACATTTCACTAATCTTATGGTTTGAGTAAAAAAATCATTTTCACTTAATTCTTTATATTTAACCATTTTTGTTATAGCTACATCTACTACATATGTATATATATATATATATATATATATATATATATATATATATGTGTGTGTGTGTGTGTGTGTGTGTGTGTGTGTGTGTACATATATATTATTTTTCATAATGCAAATTATCAGATTGATGCTAGTTCTTCTTCTTCGGCATTCTTCAATACATTGTTTAAGATCTGTTCTTGAAGTTCTTGGTTTACAAGATAACTTGATAAA